GGGGGGGGGGAATTTACGGGCTCGAATGTACCTATTAATTCTCTCAGAATGTTTTCTGAAGGAATATTATAATAATATTATAATTTATCATGATGAGTTTTTTAATCTTATGCGCACATATCAGTACGATCCGGACCACTGTGCGTCACGCCGCTTCAGAAAGGGCAAGCGCACGCCTGTGCACTGCCCGACAAAATGTGTTGTAACTTCTTTATTTATTGGAATTTCAAAAAACTGTTTAGGACAATATTCTTGAAGGTTTAAATTGCCGAAAAATGCATTTAAAAAAAATCGATTTTTTGAAACCGATAAATGTTGTATATGACCCCTTAAGAAATTCTTTATTTTGAACTTTATATAACTGACATACACAACACGTACACTCAAAACGGATCTTATACGAATAGGCTATTCTCTAATACACACAAAGACAAATTTAAAATACATCTGACAAAAATCGACTCTACAGTTAATAAGAAGATATATAGGTAATTATTATATAATTTATTATAAGTTAATAAATTACATTTAGTCAGGAAACTATATCTTAACATTGCTGAAAGGTCCATTTACAATAATACTTACTGCAATAAACTACATCAAAATATTCATTAGACGAACTTTTATAAACAAATCTAAGAACTCCATTAAAATATCATTAAAACAACATGCGACAGATTAATATACTAATCAAATCAGGTAATTTATGTTCTCATACTAAAATCATTATTACTGTTATATAAAACAAACATCGAAGATAATAAAATTATAAGAATTTAAATTACTGATGATGGCTATATAAAGTAATAAAATATTCAACATATTATAAAATGATATGTGTAACGTCAAAAGTATAAAGATAAAGCCAAATCTAACTGTCACGCAGAAAGTACATATAATAGGAAAGATCATGATAATGCAAAGTCAATAACCAATTGTTTATAATCGGTATATAAGATTTATGAAGGTCTTCTGTGTCTGTCTGTATAGGTTAAGACTGTTATTCTATTTTTTAATATTTAGCTTCTCAGAGATGAGGCGTTTAAGGATCTTCATCTAGAATTTGAATGTTGTTCCAATCAAAATCATGTCCTCTTGTTGTAAACAATGGTCAGTTATTACTGAATTTGAATTAATATTCCCCCCTACGAATATGATTTTTATGTTTCTCTTTATTAGTTATAAATTATATTGTTCTCTCAAATATATTTTCCATACACTATATTCTGAATCTATCTGTTACAGGCCGAGATGAAAAGGAGAACATCGAACCCTTATATGAATAGATATATATATATATACACATATAGAGATATATTATATATTTAAGTATATGTTTGTATCTTTTATAAATAAAATAAAAAAATTAGAAAATTTTAAAATATGTGTACAACATTTTATTAATTCATAAATACATATATATATATAAAATAATATCAATAATATACACAAAAGTGATTGATTGCGCCTTGCTTTTTTAATTTTTATCGCTTTCGTTAAGGTTTAGGACAACAGTGTGTATGTACATCAAATGCAATAATATAATATGTACCTTATACAATTAGAATGTTATTGCCAAATCCAAATAATTTCATGTTTCTATTATTTGAGTTAAGAAATAAAAAAGACATCTCCTACAGCACAAAGTTACTATATAGTAACTCAAATGATAGAAACATGAAATTATTTGGATTTGGCAGTAACATTCTAATTGTATAAGGTATATTATATTGCATTTGATGTACATGCACACTCTGTTGTCCTAAAGTTTAACAAAAGCAATATTATAATATTGCAGCGTTATTGCAACGAATTGTTGTAAGTTCGGTGCTGTATGGGATTTTTTGAGATATTATTTTATTTTTCTGTAGAAAATAATTAACAAAAAATAATTTTTTGTTAATTTCTTCTACAGGTAAACAAATATCACAAAAACGTCATATATTACTCAAATAATGAAAAAAATGGAGTTATATCTGTTTTTGGTAATAATCGAGTATGCAAGATGTCCCCTTTGCGACTAAAAACATTATAACAAGAAAACTTTCGAAAATTTAATAAAAAAGTAATTCGTAATTTTTTATTTTAAGTAATATAATTTATGAGATATAACTATAAAACTGTTACATCTTAAAAATTATTACTTAAAATAAAAATTTACAAATTACTTTTTTATTTAAATTTTCGGAATCTTTCTTGCTATAATATTTTTAGTCGCGAATTTTGAGACATCCTGTATATGTTCATTAAACGTTTCACAAACATTACGAGTGGAACGTAGAGAAAGAACATTTGTGACGTTACATATATATTTTTTTAACAACCGTTTTGCGAACGTTACAAATGAAACGTTGTGAATGAACTTTTCAGTGACATCTTATATACATTTTACAAACGTTTCACAAATGTTGTAAGTGGAACGTTATACATGAACTTTACAATAACGTTATATGTATGTTTATCAAACGTTTCACAAAGGTTACAAATGGAACATTACATATGAACAGTAAATGCGTGAGGACATTTCTGGTTGTGGCAACGTTGCATTAACGACTCTGAAACGACACAGAAAAGGTCGCACAGCTTAAGTATAACGTTATTACAATGTTGCTGGAACAAAATTTTGTTTAGTGGGTAGATTAAAGGCCGAAACGTTTAACAATTGTACTAATAATAAAATTTCGTTTTAATATTCCACGAAATACAGTATATTTTCGCTAAATCTATCCAGCGTCGTGGTATATGTTCATTTTAATTCTCCTTCGTTTAATTCCTTTATTTATTATTAAACCATATTAAACTTATATTGTTGTTAATAATAATACATAAATGTAAAATTAATTAAAGGGCAATTAAAAGCTAAGAATAAACGCTGTTATTCATGCGTATAATAAACAAATATATTTAAACAAATACTAAAATCTTTTTAAGACCGCGTACAATTGATAAACAATAAACATACAAGAAGGAAACCAATAACGGTCAAAGCCACTAACGGTCAAAGCTGGATCACAAATGCTTATTAAAATTATGTGTGAATTTTATATACTGCGTATGTAGTCTCCTTAATCGCGTGCCGAAATTTTTTCAGACTTACAACGCAACACTAAACAACTACCGCAGTAATATCAAATATATTTAATCAAAAACGATCTTACATTGAATTCGCAAGAAATTTTACAAAATTCGGACGTTTCGGCTCCGTTTGAGTCATCATCAACGATGTCAAACAATGGATGCAGGTATTATTCATTCTCTCAGTAAGGTCCGAGTGAATACCCATAAAAGTCTCTTCAATTCGATATTGTGAGAAACATTAGTATCAATTAACTATTTAATTAAGTGTGTAACTGAAGATTGATATAGAACATAATTGAATTAATAAAATTATAAAATAAAAAATATATATATAATTAATCGAAAGAACTCACCAGCTGCAAACTCTAATCATATACATAACATAAGGGGAGAAAATTATACTTAATGACAAAACTAACGAAACTTGTCAAGAGAACTGTATCTTGATGAATATAATGTTGAAATGATGTAAAAGATATAAACACTATAGATGAGATATATATTTGTTTAAAAAATCACAGTTTATAATTTATTCGTTTTTTGATCCATTCTATATACACAGAAATATAAAAGATTATAGGAGGAGAGTGAAAGACCGAAATAAAGATAGAAAGAGATAGTGAGGAAGGAAGGAAAAAAGGAGGAAAAGATATTCTTGAATATATGTATATTTAATATGATATAGGAATATCATATTAGACATACTCAAAATTAGACATGCTTAAATGTTTATAAATAAATAAGGTGTAAACTGTAAAGTGTTTAATGGAAAGCATACGATCTCTTATTCGACGTTATGATTACTGTGGAGTATTTGTACAGGGCCGCATAAGCTTCTGGTGTAAAAGAAAAACGAGGATGTCGATCGTATAAATAGAACCGTTCGTCTGCATGGAGATGCGGTCCTATATAGAAGGAGTTATTTTTGAGAGTCATATCATGACTCGTTACAGTTCTGCGTTCAGTTCTACAGGTTTTCGGTCGCGGCAAGCAGTGCAAATGGTTTCACGCATCATATATAGAACAAGGAAATCAAGGCATAATTAACTTAATACGTAAGCAAAAATTTTTATTGATTATGCCATTAGGATTTAATTTCTTATATTCGCGTTGATGTTCTTTTTCCGCTAAATAAAAGGTTTGTTTTTTTTTCTAATTAATGCATAGGAGATTCGATACATATCTGTGTGTGTACGTCTGATGAGTGCTTCCTTTCAATATTTAATAAATTTTCCAAAGACAAGAAAACTATGATAATAAGAAAATACATATGCATGCTTATATACTACGTATATGTGTATGTGGGTGTATTTTTCCCTATAAAAATATCAGTTTTTGCAAATTTATTATGTTAGTCAATAAAAAAATGCATAAGATCGAAGGTAATTAATTCTCGAAATCTTTTGGGCAAAGAATATAATTCCACATTTACCAAATTGTTCTGTTCCGTCATAATTATGAAATATTGTATTTGTAATTAAGAAAGATTACAGGACTCTTAGTATTCAACATAAATAGAGAGATATAAAAAGGCTAATCAGAGTCGACCGCAAACCAAGAAAATATTCAAATTAAGTTATAAATACAAATATATTGGATGCAAAGAATATAAAATTGGATGCATAAAAATATAAGAAAAATTAATTACAATACAGTATGCATATCAAGTTTCGGCTTTACATTTAAGCCCTCTTATATTGAATACTAAAAGTCCTGTAATCTTTCTTAATTGTTAAATTTACGCTGACTAAAATATGCGAGGAACACAATATTTTTGTTTTTTGATTTTATTTAATACCACTTCGGTAATTACGCAGTCAACAATGATAGATTGCAATAAATCTATCGCAACAAATCTATCATCTGAAGAGAGCTAAATGTAAAGCGAAACTTGTTATGAAATACTATATTGTAATTAATTTTTCTTATATTTTTATGACTGTACTCTTGCATCCAATATATTTTTATTTATGACTTAATTTGAATATTTTCTTAGTTTGCGGACGACTCTGATTAGCCGTTTTATATTTCTCTATTTATATTGTATTTTTAGTTAAAATTGCAAGAAAAACTTCTAATATATATTTTAGTATTAACGAAAAATAGGCTCCAAAATAATAAATGCAAATATATTTTAAAAAATGCCAATACGAGCCAAAACAAGCTGTTCATGTGAATATCCAATTTTACTGAAAAAGTACATACACATAATAGATGTTTCAACCCGTGGTTTGAGTTCTCTTGAGTACAATATCACAAATTTTTTAAAAATATAATAATTAAATTTAAAAATAAATTTAATTTGAATACAAGGACTCTTAACATAAAAAAAAGTTGACAATTAGGTATATAATATAAAAGACTAATAAGAGTCAAATAACTAATCAATGTCAAATTTCAAATAAAGAGGTGAGCTATATTTTAATTATATATACTGATTTAATGAGTCGACAAATTTTACATTAAATAACGCGCGCATTACAAGTTTCAATTGTATGATTCAGCCCTCTTCAGATGCTTGTACAATCTTGCAATACAAAAGTTTTTTGACAGCCTGATGTGTTTAATGGAATCATTTTTTTCATTTTTTCTGTTTCTTCCATCAGAACATGGTAAAACATAGTATTAATTGATCGGTCAATCGTTGGTCCTTCTACACGTTTTTATCCAAAATGTCCATTACAGTCAATTTTTATATGGATATTGCGGTTTTAAAATATAATAAAATCAATTTAATTTTATTTGGATATTGTTGTTTAAAATATTCTATTGCGGGATTGTACAAGCATCTGAAGAGGGTTGAATCATACAGCCGAAACGTGTAATGTGCGTGTTATTTAATGTAAAATTTGTCGACTAATTAAATTAGTATATATAATTAAAATGTAGCTCACCTCTTTATTTGAAATTTGACAAATTAGTTATTTGACTCTTATTAGTCCTTTATATTATACAATTGTCAATTAAAAATAAATATAATGATTAAGATTAAGGGGTAACACCACTGTAACGGCCCAAAAAATTGCACTTCTTCGACATTTTTTTTTTAATGGAAGGAAATGAAATAAAATATTAATATTCCGTGAAGTTAATAAGCATATATTGAAGTACTTTTAAACATTTTTTCATAAAAAAATATTACAAAATGGCGGAATGGCAGCCATATTCCCGATGCGCCTTTAAAATAAAGGGGTCCGCGGCAAGCAGTGTAGCCGTTGGAAATTTGAACTTAGAACAAATAAAATAATTCCTCATGATCTTCAATGGTATATCTAGTACAATACGTAGGGGATTTTAGAAATATTGATTTTTGAGTGATTGGCGAGCATTTGAATAAAGTCGTTCATTTTTCGACAAAAAAAGTGACATTATTTGGCAATAAAAAATGTTTAAAGCAACGTATCGAAAATCCCGTACGTATTGTACTTCGAAATGTTGTTTTGAATGTACAATAAAAAATTCGAGTGAAAATATTAAAAATTGTTTGAGTTATACTGCTTGCCGTATAAAAGTTTTTTCCTCGTATTCTACAGGGTTCAAAGGATTTTTTAAGCCCAAAAAAAAAAAATGATTTTTTGAAAATTTTACAGTGGTGTTACCCCTTAAGAGTATAAATTCTTTTAAAGAACGGTTATAATCTATATTTAATTTTTTCGACGATTAAAAAAAGACTTTTCAAAAACATAAAGTAATAGACTAAAAAGACAAATTAAGAGTCATAACATTAAAACTGTAATCACGTAGTCAAAAAATAAAAGAGAAACAATAAATTCGAAGATATAAATAAAATAATATATAACAGAGATAGATATTTTCAATAAAACTTAACCGCAAATCTTCGAATCTTCAAGACTTTACATGTTTCGACTCTTGGATTGAGTCTTTTTTAGAAGTATAAAAAACGTAGAGAGGACATCAGAATCATTGGTGTAAAATAAATAAAGATGAATCCATTATTAAGGCAAGAATCTGTCTAACAACGATTGGTAGATCGGTAGTAAATCTATGGAATAATAATTAAATAAGCTTTCTTTAGTAAAATCAATAAATCATTAATATATAGATAAATTAAGAAAAAACAAAACTTTTTTCAAACCCCTCCAGTAATGGACTCATCCACACAATTTATGTATATAAAACTGTCACGTTGGTCAGAGAACATATCAGTATATTTATCGACAAAACAGGAACGAAAAATTAATACGTCTGCACATTGTAAAAATTGACTGTGAACTAAAGACAACAACACAACAATGTCAAACTTTGTTTATTAACGGGATGTATGCTTTATGAAAACCTTCAGTGTCTGTTTGTAAGTTTAAACTATTTTTTGTTTTTTAATGTTGATCATTTCTGACACTATCCGTTTTCTTATCTATAACTTTTCAAAAAATTTGAACAATTAAATCATATTGACTTGGGTGTAGAAAATCAAGATAGCAGAGGACAGAAAACAATAAACAACGATTTGTTAATGTATCCTTTATCCCCTCTATTTCGCAAAAAATTAAAAACATGATTAAATTATAGAATCGATTGTGTAATGAATAATGATTATGATGCATCATATGTGGCCATTGACATATAGAATGGACCGCTGATGGTAGTGGTGGGGGTAGAAAGACGAGTAGAGTGAGAGGCAGAAATACTATGATCGTTCTTTCTTTCTCTGTTTACTGAAGCCTGATTGGTCGTTGGATTAACAGCGACCAACAGTAATCAGTAGTTATCAGTAAACAGAGAAAGAGAACGATCATATTATTTCTGCTCTCACTCTACTCGTTTTTCTACCCCCACCACTACCATCAGCGGTCCATTCTATACAGGATCTCCAAAAAGTCCGGAAACGGTTGAATATCTTGAAAACGAAGCATTTTTGAGAAAAATGTTTCAAACAAGAATTGTAGGGTTTAATATGATGTATTTACTGATCTAATCAGTTTGACCTTGGGTGTCGTCGTCAAGGTCAGATCAAAGTCACGTAGAATTTTTTTAATGGAACCCCCTATTTTTTTATTACATTTTCTTGTAGCTTACCTCGAGAGCTTTTCAAAACACTATAATAAAATATTTTTCCATTAAGTATTTTTCGAGTTATAAGGCTCGAAAGTTACAGTATCGCCGGCATTAGCATTACCCAAAGTGCACCACGAGGTTGCACGGTCGGATTTACACCTCTTGTGTGTGTTTTGAAAAGCTCTCGATAAGATTCTTTAGGCAGGAATTGGCCTGCAAATTTGATGCATATCGTTCTAGATGGCAGATAGCTCGTTTGGCCGTCAGCTGTGACTCTACGATTAAGTCGTTGAATATCTAGAACCTTAACAGAAGATTTAATGTTACTTTTGATGCATTCCGAAGATAGCGATTGGTTTATGTCTCTAATGATTCCAGTTCTAAGAACTTTGTATGAAGGAATAAAGGCACGTAGTTTGAATTTAGCGAGGTTATTGTTGGCCACCATTTTGTTAGCGGCCGTCGCGGATTTGACCTCTACAATGGCCTTTCCACTGTCCAGACGTTTAATGCTTAGGATGTCAGAACTAGCAATTTCAGATACGATTTTAGACAGTACCGAGAAATGTAGAACCGAAGCCTTCTCTGAATAGACGTATACAGCATAAGGCCCAGAGTCTGAATCTGAATAAAGATAAGTGGTCTTATGTGGTATTACCTTCTTAGAACATGCAGTATTACCATCCTGATTTTTGGTGTGACCATCGGAGGATTCCACAGCATTGGTGTTATTGTTGATATTATTGGCTGATCCAGAAAGATTTTCGACAACCTTAACCTTAGAACTAGAATCGTGATCTCGAGTTAAAGCCCTCTTTCTAGAAACAAGCGTGAATTCTACCTCCATGTCATCATTCATGACTTCACTTCCAGTCGGCGAGACTGACAACACATTATGATCTTGCATTCCAGCAGGATCGCTAATTATACTATGTATCGCTGCTTCCACTAGTGCATTGTCCAACCCATTAGATGGGGTATCGCATTGCGCATAACTAAAAGGGGAGATAGGAGAGAAAGGGGGGGGATGGAAATCAGCGGGCGAGGAAGCCGCCGAAGAGGGC